TTCCTCGCTCTCCACCGTTTTTTTCCGGTGTTGGAGCGGCAACACGTGCTGGTCAGGACGGACAGTACGGCGGCGGTGGCGTATATCAGCCGTATAGGGGGTATGCGCTCTCGCCGCATGTCTCAGCTCGCCCGCCGTCTGCTCCTCTGGAGTCATCCGCGGCTGAAATCGCTGCACGCCATTCATATTCAGGCAAGCTCAACCGTGCAGCTGATGCGCTCTCACGGCAGCCTTGCGTCCTGGAGAATGGAGACTCCACCCCGAGTCTGTTCAGCTGATATGGGCGCGATTCGGGGAAGCCCAGATCGATCTGTTGCTTCCCCCGAGATCGCTCATTGCCAGTTGTTCTTTCCCTGACCGAGTGCTCTCGGCACGGATGCACTGGCTTACAGCTGGCCTCGGGGCACGCGCAATACGCGTTTCCCCCAGTGAGCCTGCTCGCGCAGTTACTGTGCAAGGTCAGGGAGGACGAGGAACAGTTTGCTGGTTGCGCCCCTCTGGCTCAACCGGACCTGGATGTCAGAGCTCTCCCTCGCGATAGCCCTCCCCTGGCAGTCCCTTCGAGAGAGCACCTACTCTCTCAGGGACAGGGCACCACCTGGCACCCTCGCCGATCTTTGAAGAGATTTTTAGACGCGAGGAAGACTTAGGTAACCTCCGATTGCGGTGGCTAATACCGTCACTCGGGCTAGAGCCCCCTCCCCGAGCGCGCCTATGCCCTGACGTGAAGTCTATTCACTGAATGGTGTGTCTCTCGCTGAGAAGACCCCCGTAATTTGCCAGATCAGCGTTGTGCTTTCTTTACGCCGAGAGAAGTTGGAGAGCAGGCTGTCGCCCTCCACACTCAAGGTTACGTGGCTGCCATCTCCGCTCTCATAACGCGGTGGCTGGCAGCACCGTGGGAACGCATAACCTCATCATCCGGTTCCTCAGGGGCGTTAAGCGAATTAATCCACCCCGCCCCCTCTCATGCCCTCTTAGTATCTCGCCCTCGCTACACAAGCCGCGTCAGATCCCTTCGATCCTCGACTCAGTATATTTCTGTCCCTGAAGACAGCTCTGCTGGTCGCGTTGATATCGATTAGAGGGTCGGGGACCCGGAGGCATTTTTCGGTCAGTGACTCGTGCCTGTAATTGGGCTGGCTTCTCTCACGTTCTGAGACCCCGCCCACGATATGTGCCCAAGGTTCCTACCACTCCATTTTAATACGAGGTAGTGAGCCTGCAAGCGCTGCCCTCGGAGGAGGCAGACCCAGCCCTTCTTTATTGTCCAGTTCGCGTTTTGCGTATTATCCGGACCGCACTCAGAGTTTAGATCATCTGAGCAGCTCTTCGTCTGTTATAGCGGTCGGCAGCAGGGAAGTGCCGTACCGAAATAAGTTCCCACTAGATTGTGGATGCCTTTCTTTCACTATCAGAGCCGAGATGAGCCGCGTCCCCCGAGAGCGCGTGCGCACTCCACTCGGAGCTTCGCATCCTCTCGAGCGCGCGCACGCGGCGCCCCTCTAACAGACATCTGTAGAGCTGCGGGCTGGGTGACACCCAACACATTTGCAAGGTTTTACAATCTGCGAGTGGAGCCGGTTTCCTCAAGGGTATTAGGTAACCCTTGGTGATTGAGGAAACAATTCGGTAGGGTGTTGAAACACACTTGCTGCGCCATTTTCCCTAACACGGAGATACGTGCGCCTTTTTATCTGTCAGTAAAGTTCCCCGTCAGGTGAGCCCTGCAGATTCCTCCGTGGCCCCCAGCACTGACTCAGCGGAGGAGTCACTTGCTGGCCCACTACGTTGTAGGTCTGCCCGCTGGTCAGCCCGCGTTTTGGGTAAAGGTGCCTGCTATGCGTGGTCCCCACTAGGCGATCCCATATGCTTATTCAGCCACGGTTAAGTCCCCCCCCCCCTGGGCGGACCCGTGTCTTCCCTCCCCGCTAACCACTCTTTTGCTATGCGTACTCCCCCTTTTTAGGGCTAGTCCATATGTAAATTCTGCCATCTATCCCCCCTTGGGTAACGGATGGCCTCCGCAGTGTCCTCCCTATCGGGATTGCACGCTTCCCAACGTACTGTCGTATTTTCCTAGAATTATCTAGATGCTCACGACTTCCCAAAAAATATATATAAATCCGTAAAACTTCTGTTGAAGTAGGATAAATTAGGGCCAGGGACACGTTGGAGGACCGCGCCCCCCATGATGTGGGTGCGTCACGCTTGCTTGACTATCTCCTCATCGGGGGTGTTGGTAAGGTGCAGTCATTATGGCGCTTTCAATGGGCTCCCAATGCGTGGATTTTACAATCAAATCCACTTATAGTGCTTCCGTTCCCCCCGAAGGGGAACGTTCGAGGTTACTAAAGTAACCCTTCGTTCCCCGAGGAGGGGAACGGAAGCACTATACTCCGTCGCCATAATGACTGTCCCTTAGCTGTTGAAAGTCTCTTCAGCTTAAAAAGGATAGCGTCTGCTGGCGCCAGGTGAGCTTATATACTCAGTTGATTGCTTATGCCGCTCACCTGCGCAGGCTTGCGCTGCCAATTCATTCTTAATTGGCCCGTTCAATACTCTTCAGACGAGTAGCTTCTGAACCGAACCTCCCAATGCGTGGATTTTACAATCAAATCCACTTATAGTGCTTCCGTTCCCCTCCTCGGGGAACGAAGGGTTACTTTAGTAACCTCGAACGTTTCATATACACATAACCATAATTTATATCATTATAAATAATAATCGTGTTAATTTAAACACTATAAATGAGGACTTTTCCCTCAATCCCCGGGTCTGAATGCAAACTCAGTGCAGCAGGGCGATGAGTCTATATGTGAACAAACTCCTGATAAAAGACAACGTTCGCCATTCTCCAATTCTCGTATACTGTTGTCCCGACAAAAATGCCTGCTGCACACAAACAGCTATGCTGTATTGGCCCTGACAGCATCCCAGGGAAAAACATGCAACAAACCCCGTGGATCATGGAAACAAACACATACGACCCGTCATGAACAGCTAAATACTGTGTGCCGTGAGTCCCAGTCTCAGCTTGGCACTGGCAGGTTTGTCTTGACTTTGGAAAGCATGAGCAGTCATGAATAATTAAGAAGCCGGCTCTTCTCATAGGATAAGAAAACTCTGCTTTGAATAATAATTAGAAACCGACGTGTCATCTTTGCACCTGCAGTTTTGCGCTATGTCGCAGATTTTGATCCCGCCTCAAAAATCTTTTTAAACCCAGAAGATGAAATTACCTGACAAAAGCTCAAAATCATCCAATTTTCCCCACAATTAAAGCTAACAGGTGCTAACAGTGTCTTAAATGATGCTCAACAAACACAAATCTTTGAAAATCTCAAAAAAGTACTAAAGGGTTTTGTGAACCTTTAAAAGTAAACATTGAAAATAGCAGAGCAGACAGAAAGAGTAGATGTGCACTTTCATGCACATAGAGATCCAAAAAACAAATGTAGAATTTAACGTTAGATTAAAGTATTTTCCAATCAACTATCCTGAGTGAAAAACAGAACACTGAATACATTGAGTAAAACAGCACTTTCATTACCACACACATCTACTAACCTTTGTTAACATTAGCTACAGTTTCACTCAGTCGCTTAGTACATTACTCAGATCAGAATGACATTTTATTTATTTGATATTAATAATGTGTTAATAAACATTGATATTTGCATTAACTGAGATTAATAAATGCTATAATAACATTTCTAGTTGTTAACTAAAGTAAAAAACTAAAGTCATTGCACATTGAATCCAAAATGTCAGCCTCATGTTGTGTCAATCACATTTACACACTGTGTGCAAAACTGTTATCGATCGTTAACAATAAATAAATCTGATTGGGTTTTGATTTATTTATTTTTTTTACATATTATCACATCCAAAAAAACATACTTAAAACAAACATGTTTTTATAATTTGGAGCTGGTACAAAAAAAGTAAAAAAAAAAAAAAACTGAATGCTGTCACTGGAAGCACAGAACACTGTAAAAAAACAACAAAAAAAAGTATGTAATATTAAGGCAGAATGTGACAGATGGTTGAGAACCACTGCGGTAGACTAATGTATGCTGGTTTCAGTGCCTGCTGTGCACCTTTCCCATGCAGCTGTTTGGCCAGGGTGTCTGCGTGTGCCATACCTTTGAGTGCCAGTGTTCAGGATTAATTAGTTCACAGAAATGTGTTATGTGGCAGCAGTATTGCAAGCGATGCATCAAAATGTTGGGATAATCCCATGCAGCTCTTTAATAAGGTGGTGAACTCACCTTTATTTTCGCGCCATGGACTGAATGGACAAAATATTTAATATTTATTTTTTCGTAGATACAAATAGAAAAAGAAAAAATATAGGAAATTTATAAAATTTTCAGCCTGCAGTTTTTACTTTACAGTTAATTTACTTTACAGTTAAAACCTTAACTGTAAAGTAAATTTTAAAAAAAAAAGTTTTTTTTTTGTATTATTATAAATCTATATAATAAAATGAAAAAAGTTTAAAATTGAAACAATAATATATCTTTATTATTATTGTTGCTATTTATATTATTATTTTAGAATGACCTGTTTTCTACTTCTCTTAACAGTAATGCTATTTTAAGCTTTTGTTTGATTTAGAATAATATATTAGAAGTATATTAATATAAAGTATATAAATGGATCTAAAAAATGCCACGTCTGAGCAATATGATGCCAAGAACAATTGATTTTGTGAGATCAGACTCCTGGCACAGCATTTTAAATGTAGCCATATTAAACTTATACTTAATTATTTAATTACATAGGAATGGAAGATGGGGTTAAGCAATGTCAACACACATAATAACTATTATTATTATAACTAATTTTATCACTTACACATATTTTTTAAATATTAATAACGATAGTAATAATAATATTATAATACATGTAATATTAAATTTCTCTCTTTGTGTTTCATAGAAAAGCTTGCATATTCCAAACCATTCTATAATAAAATCAGTATTCACACTTACATCAGATGGCCGAATCTTTATGAAGAAACTGCTGCGTTTGTAGGAGACTTTGAGAACTTTTGGCCAGGGGAATCGATTAATCCTCAGCTTGTCTTTATAGACCATCAGACCACTGGAGCAGACGCCCAACATTATATCCACTCCATCCAGATCCTGACAGAAATAGAGAAAATAAAAGGGGGCAATGATTATATACATTGTAGTATTATAGTGCATCGACCTAAAACTTGCAATCTCAAATGTCTACCACTAGAGGGCGCCCTTGCTTCTCTTTTAAAATAGTGAATTCCATAATTTATTTAAATCCATGGCTTGATGCAAACAGATTGACCTGGTTTCTGCGACCAAATCTGAGCAGCGGCAGGACATGCAATGCTTTTATCTCAAGCACTTCTGTGATATGAAGGACATTTTGGTATAACCAATGATTTTCTAAAAGTTAAGATTGCTGATTCCATTTAAAGCAGATGGTTTAATGATCACTTTGTCCAACTGAGACATCTAATAGGATGTATTTTAAGCAAATAGTGGTTTGTACCATCAGATAATGATGAATGATAATGTGGAGTAATAATACAGCATAATCAACAACCAAAAGCAAAAAAAAAAAAAAAAAAAGCATTTAATTGATCTTTAGTACTAGGCAAAGAATAATCACACACATACATAGAAACAAAACTATACTAAACAATTTTGTTACAAAGATTTTTAAATGTATACATAAATTGTATCATACACATCTTTATTTATATGTATAAATATTTTATTTTATTTTATTTTTATTCAAATATATGCATGCCTGTGTGTATATACGCACAATAAATATACACAGATAAGTTCTTTATAAATGTCTTAGTAAAACACACATTTTTCCTCATTTAAACACAATATATTATCTTTTACAATTCTTCAATTTACATTTATAAAATTTTGGAACAGTAAACATGTCAGGCTAAATAATTTAAATAAATTATTGACTTCAGGTAGGTTTATTAGTTTACAAAACACAGATTTCTTTACAACACATAAAAAGCCTATACATACAGTTGAAGTCAGAATTACTAGCCCTCCTTTATTTTATTTATTTATTTATTTATATTTCCCAAATTATGTTTAACAGAGCAAGAAATTTTTTACAGTATGTCTGATAATATTTTTTCTTCTGGAGAAAGTCTTATTTGTTTTATTTCGGCTAGAAAAAAAGCATTTTTTTTATTTTTAAAAGCCATTTTATGATCAAAATTATTAGCCCCTTTAAGCAATATTTTTTGATGGTCTACAGAACAAACCATCAAACCATCATTATACAAATACTTGCCTAATTACCCTAACCTGTCTAATTAACCTAGTTAAGCCTTTAAATGTCACTTTAAGCTGTATAGAAGTGTCTTAAAAAATATCTAGTAATATATTATTTACTGTCATCATGGCAAAGATAAAAGACATCAGTTATTAGAAATGAGTTATTAAAACTATTATGTTTAGAAATGTTTTGAACAAATCTTCTGTTCATTAAACAGAAATTGGGTAAACAATAAACAGGGAACTAATGATTCGGATGGCTAACAATTCTGACGTCAACTCTTTACCTTGTGAACAGAATTCTTTTGTGGGTTTTAAAACCTTGACTTTTCCAAACTGCAGTAAACCTACTGTAGTATAATTTAGTTAGTTAATTTCATGTTAACTTTTATTCTGAATGTGATTAATTTATAATTATTGTGATTAATAATTGCCCCAAAAAATCTAGACTTTTATTAATAAAATACTGAGAGAAAATTCTAACCTGTATTTTGGAATTCTCCAAGATTTTGATAAAGGGACAACCATAAAACAACATAACTAAAGATGCAGTAGGTGATTGTCTTCAGAAATATTTTTTGCTATGCTGGTTGAAAATCTATTCAAAATTCCAATAGTAATGATTAAAGTAAATGATCTAAATGTATTGATATGTATTTTATATTCTGGGTAAAGCATAAAAAACGTAAAAATGTTTGTCAAATTAAATATTGTCGAGCCGACAATTCCCATAATTCTGATAAGTAGCCCAAACTGTCTGTCAGCAAATGTGGATTTGAACAACTGCGCACCCATTCACGCAGAACTGCTGATGCGTGTTCACAGGGGCCACGGTCACGTGGACACGAGTGAGAGTGGTAAAAACAAATGCTCAATCAAAACTTTTTGATTCCTGAATGAATATTGGAGTTACATTTGTACACTGGAGAAAGGACATGGCTGAAGTATTTCTTTAGACAGGTTCTGTTCTGTTTTAAAACTCTTTTAGTCACACAAAGCGTATGTAGATTTTGTCGTAACAAATATATGTTATATGCACAGAAGTTCAGCCACTGAAATCTTCTGGCGAAAGACTGATGTGATTATTTTCAGTTTCATAAGGGACCTTTTTCAGCAACGATAAAGTAGTTTTTATTTAGTTTAACAACAAAACATCAGTAAATAGCTCTGTTCCGGCTGGCCTACTTTACTGAGGTGAAGTTTTTTTATTCGCATTGGTTCATTTTTGAACAAGGACAACCTGTGACGTGCTGCCTATATTGTTTACCATGCTACTCTAATTATTTGGTCTGAAATAGCATGTAAGTATGGCTTAGTAATAAGTGTAATTCCTGCAGCCCGCCAGCCAATCACTAAGCATACAGTAGTCGTTTTAAGACAAAGCGTGTGAGAGAGTGAGACTGATGAGAAAGTGATGACAAGTTGTGCTTGCTAACCACACCAGTGCTTACAAAACTTTTCAGCCCGCGACCCCCAAAATAACAATGCCAGTGACTTGCGACCCCCAATATCCTATGAGGTGGTTATAAATACAGAAACCTTGCATGCAATGGCGCACACACCAATAGACCCAAGTCTATTCTTTGTTGAGTTTTTTTTTATGTATGTCAGTGCTGTAAATTGGCCAGAAAGTTTAACATGGAATTAAAAAACAGTCTGCTGCATCTGGCGCTATGCTGTTTCTTTAATATAATGTAATTACCCCAGGGGTCGCAGTCCAGTAGAACTAGTAACTATAAGCTACTATAGTAACTATATAGTATATCTAGGGTTGTAACGGTATGAATTTTTCACGGTATGATAATCGTCTAAAACAATACCACGGTTTGACGGTTTCGCGGTATACGGTATGTTACAAATGTTACAAAATAATAGAACAGTGAAGCAAATTTGACTTTTTCCAAATAATATATTTTTAGTTACTATAAACAACACCACTTACAATGAACAAATAAAAATAAGAAAATAATAAATAATGTGTCAAAGTCCAAATAAAGTCCAAATAAACATGGTGCACATCCTCAGTAAAAAATAGATATAAATATTTACTATACTATAAATAGTTACATAACGAAACTAGATTCAATATGGAACATCCTTAGGTTTTATGTGCCAGCATGGATATGGTTGTCTATCGATATGGATTTGGATGTGGTTGTCTGCAATGCAGACAAACAGCTGCATCTTCATTTGCGTCTTTTGAAAACAGCGAGAGCAGCAGTTCGTCTTTGCTGTGTCACTGTTTTGTCATGTTTCTGTGCTGCTGTGCATGCAAAAGTACTTAGTATGAGAATTATTTCATGCAAAACTTTTTTTTTTTGCGTTTTATTTAGCCGCGCATAAATGTATGCCTATCTCTCATTCCGTGTTGTTCAAAAAGCTTGGTCCACAAACAAAAGCGAAACCTATGCTTATTGGTTGTGATATAGCGAGTTTGAACCAATCTGGGCATGGAGGAGGGACAATGCATCAATGTATCATGTCTGATTTGTCCGGAGACACAGTGACGAGCGTTTCTTTGTCAAATCAGCGTTGTCAAATGTTGATGACGTAACCGCACTGATTCCGGAGCCTCTGAAAGTCCGCGAATGTTATGTGATACAGCACTGGAAAGCTGAGATTCTCTTCTTTATGCCAATCTTTGAATTGTATGAATCGGATCAGCGGATCAAAAGTTATTAAACATTTAAGACTTATTAAACTTATTTTTAGCCGCGGGCGGCTGTCTCGGTCTTTAAGGAGACAGAAAACCGTTAAAGGTTAAAACCGTTGATATGCAATTGTTCATGGTATGATAATCGTGCACGTTCAAATCGTGGTAAACCGTCATACCGGTATATTGTTACAACCCTAAGTATATCGTAACTATAAACGACTATTTTGTCTTTTCAGTAGGTTATGGATAAAATATGGTAATTCTTAAGGTTTAATAAAAAATAAATAGATTTTTGGAAATCACCAGGGGCCTCATGTATCAACGCTGCGTACGCACAAAAAAATGTGCGTACGCCAGGTTTCACGCTCAGAATCGCTCACGTTTGAATTTACTAACAATGAACTGAACGTGGGAATGTGCGCAGCTCCACGCCAGCTTTATGGCTGGCGTACGCACATTTTTTGTGCGTGTCTGTTTTATTTCCATTGGCGACTCCTAGAGGCAGTTAAATTCCTCTCTACAAAGTGTCTGAGGCTTGCAATGGCAGCTGTATGAGACGGGTACATCTAGCAGGTATATAAGGTTTCCATACCATACATTTGACCAGCTAAACATTAAAGCACAATTTGCAGCAGTTGCCTGTTTTCCCAATGTAATCTGAGCTATCTACCGCACGCACATTGCTATAAAGACACTATCTGAAGATGAATTTGCATGCATGAATCAGAAACATTTCAATTCACTAAATGTGCAAATAAAATATGATGCTTATTGATATGAACTTATTGATGATTCCTACTTGTCTTTCTCGTGATAAATAGTTGGCAAAATCTGATATATAGCGGGGGAAAAAACAAGAAAGAGTTCATCAGACGCTGGATTCGAGCCGAGTTCATGCTCGAACGTATCAATTCATGATCACATGCGTCTTACGAGCGCGCCACTGAGACTGTTAAGCGTACTGCAACATTTTACAGATATAAACCACACTATTTCTTTTTTTAATGCACTCAGTGCGATGTTCAGACCCAACTGTGTTGACCGCATCAGCTAAACTCTCCCACTCTATTTTTTTCTTTTGTTGTTAATTCCGGAGAACAAACTTGCAAATAACACCGCTTTTCTCCGGTCTACCTCCGAAAGCAGCACCTTCAATTCACATTCTGTTCAAAGTTTCTCTTTTTGCTTGCTTTTGCCATTGCTTTTTCGTTTAGTTTTTCCATTAGCATAGTCATTAGCATATTCATACGGGGGAGGAGGCAGGGAGGGGTTTTGTGCTCATGCATGTTGCGCTCAGTTTCACGTTCATTCGGATGTACAAAAGAATATGCGTGAGATTCGGCGTACGCAGTGTTTCATACATCTGATTTTTTTTCTGCGTACGCACATTTACAGCTTTGTGCGTACGCAATGTTTTAGTAAGATTTCCACGCAAGTCTTCTTACATGAGGCCCCAGGCAACCCGCCTTCATTGTCCCTTCCCCCACTTTGGGAACCATTGAACTACACAACTGAAAATGTGCAAGATATAATACAGCTTTTTGTTCAGAACTGTAGTATAATAAAGTACTATAAAGTTTTCTAACTGGCGAATTACATGATTTAATGGGTCTCTGTCATCTTTAATGTGCGTATTTAGGAAGCGTTGTTTTGTTCGACAGGGGAGGGATTGTATTTGAAAGATATTATGCTAACCGGTTAGCATTTAGGCAGATCCCCTACTGCACCTTTAATCATAGTCAAATGCTAATCACTGAAACTGTTTTCTGTCAATCAGATGTACCTTTGCCTGATGTAGATCGACACCGTACATGGCCAATTTTTTGGCATTTTCCAGGAACATCATATCAGCCTGAGCCGGACTCATAGACCTGTACAAAACACAGAAGCAGTTTATCATTACCACATCTTAATTCATATTTAAATTGGATCACAAAAGTAAAAATACACATATTTAAATCTTACCTAAATGTGCTATCATTTCCCCTTACAACACACATTCCCACATATATCCATTTGGTATTAGTGTTAAATGCACATAAATAAATCATCATCATCCCATTAATAAGCAGTCATAATCACCTGTATGTGCGATGAAGCTCCATGACTTTATCCTCCAGTTCTTTGGTCTGTCCAGGAATCAGCTGAAGCTCCTTGGCATAATCACTGGCGTGAACCTCAGGGTCATACTCCCCCAGCTCAGACTGCAGGGCATAAGAGCCCAGGAGTGCCAAGGTCACGAAAGAGCAGGGCAAACGGCCATTCTTGATGTCCTTCCGCAGCTGCAAACACAAGAAGTACCTGCAGAGTGCAAAATAACATCATTTAGGTTCAATTTGTTTTACACACTATGGGGCACGTGACAAGTTGAGACAAGTTTTTCTGTTGCGTTATGAAATACACGAGAGTGAAACTGCTGCCATGACAACAGCAGTAAAATGACGTCAGTGTGGTGCTGTGATTATTCAGGGTGAAAGGGCTTTTGTAATTTACGAGTGTGATAATGAAACTGGCTGGAGAATTGAATGCTCACTTGGTGGGAAACAGCAGGAGGCTCTCCATTTTATTAATGATTTAATCTGGCAAGTATCAGAGATTACTTTTAAAATTAGTGAGTGAGCGAGAGAAGGAGAGAGAGAGAGATACAATCTAACAAACTACTATTTTATGAGAATGAAATTGCAAGAGGCTGGAAATTATGGGGAATTTACCTATTTTGGTTTTAATTCTGATTGCCAATTCACTATAAATGCAGAGGTGCAGCAATATTTAATTTTTTTATGTACACTACTATATGAAGAGAAAAAATGAAGATGAGATTGTTTCACACAATCTGTTTGGATATTCTGGATTATTTTCGTAGGGCAAAAATCAAGACTCAAACTCAGAAAGTTTACAACACAGTTGCATTTTATGTCCGCATACTGACCACTAGGCTTTCAACGCTGACTTTCTTGTTTTGCTTTGTTCTTTTTAAGTGTACATCATCCCTTCATGACTGAACAGTTTGGGTAAAACTTGGAAACATTTGGGTATAACATTTTTTAAGAACCAGGGAGGTACAGAGGCTCTGTGGTTAGCACTGTCACCTCACAGCAAAAAGGTTGCTGGTTCGAGTCCCAGCTAGGCTAGTTGTTTCTGTGGGTTTTCTCCAGTCCAAAAACGTGCACTTATAGGTGAATTGAATAAACGAAATTATCCACAAGTATGCTTGTAAATGAGTGTGTATGGGTGTTTCCCAATACTGAGTTGCGGCTGAAAGGGCATGCACTGCATAAAACATATGCTGGAATAGTCAGTGGTTCAATCCGCTGTGGCAACCTCTGAAATGGAGACTAAGTCGAAGGAAGATTAATGAATACATTTTTAAGAACCTCAAACCTCTAGCAGTAATCATACAGCATTCCTGCTGTTTGTCATTCATTTAATGAGCATTTTTATAATACAATGTTACTGATATTCACACAGTCTTCAAGATTTGTAGAAATGTAACAAATTCACCCAGAGCTGGATAAAAATTTATGCAAATTTTTGGCTATTCAAATCAGTTGCGATGATATTAGATGTATAAGCAATAAGCTGTATTGTGTGTTAACGATTTATAGACCATTTCAATGTGGTGATGCCATTGGCCCATGAACATTTCCTGCTTGTTGTCAAACTATTTCATATGTGTAACAAGAGGTGATTCAATCATAACTTGGTGTTTTAGCAGCTCTCATAACATCATTTATCAATATATGGAACATTTCACAGAAGCTATGGAAATTAAAAATGTAAAACAGGAAATAGGTCAGGACCATTGTTATTGTTTACACCCCTCAAAATGGTCTAGCAAACATGGCAAGTTCTAATACTAAACTGTAACATACATGGCAGCAGGAAGTGTATAAAACCCTCCTTATTCAAATCCGAGTAATATAATGATATATAATATAATGACATTGTGTATAATGAATAATTTAATTAGTTCAAAAATTGCTTTTGAATGCACACTTGCTTTTTACTTTCACTTTTGAATTTATTATCATATGTACTGTGTTATTTACTTATTTATTTATTTATTTTTTGAGAGGCTTGGAATGTCAAATACTACAAATTCCCATGATTGTCATTTACATTGATGATCAATTAATCATGAACCATAATAATGCGAGATGATTCAACCTCTGCGGCACAGTCACCGACATGACAAGATGTGCAAATCACAGTAAAAACACAAACAATCAAACCTAAAATGGAAAATGTTTTTACTGTAATTAAAAATGATCATTTAATAGAAGCTTTTAGTTATATAACAGAATTATTATTAAATGTAAAGACTAATTGTGCCATCTCATCTATACAGTATGCACTGGAAACTGGTACATGTGTGCATTCATGTGAGCAAATAGATGTAATGTTAAAAGGTCCATATTGCAATTTTAATGTAGCTGCAAATAACTCCACATGATCTCAACCAAGGAACAAAGATCTTATCTAGTGAATAAATGGTCATTGTCTAAAAAATTATTCATGTAAATTTTACTTTTATGTAAATTACTGATCATTTGTGGTGACGCGGTGGCGCAGTAGGTAGTGCTGTCACCTCACAGCAAGAAAGTCGTTTGAGCCTCGGCTGGGACAGTTGGCATTTCTGTATGGAGTTTGCATGTTCTTCCCGTGTTCGCATGTGTTTCCTCCAAGTGCTCCAGTTTTCCCCATAAGTCCAAAGACATGCGGTACAGGTGAATTGGGTAAGCTAAAATTGTCCTTGGTGTATGTCTGTGAATGAGAGTGTTTCCCAGTGATGGGTTGCAGTTTGAAGGGCATTCACAGTGTAAAACATATGCTGAATAAGTTGGTGGTTCATTACAATGTGGCGAACGCAGATTAATAAAGGAACTAAGGTGTACAGAAAATGAATGAATGACTACTGATCATTTGTTGTCCATTTTCCTCTCCTTACATCAAGCTAATCCAATGCAGCCTATCTATGTATGGGAATGTGTGGCACTGGCATATCTGCGTCTCGAGCTTGCTTTTCCACTGTCATACCAAACGTTTTGTAAAACAGTTCAAGTTGTATTCCATGTGAGCCTTTTATGGTGTGCTTGCTATCTCTCTATCTATCTCTCTATCTATCTCTCTATCTATCTCTCTATCTCTCTATCTATCTATCTATCTATCTATCTATCTATCTATCTATCTATCTCTTTGTCTGTCTGTCTATCTATCTCTATCCATCCATCCATCCATCCATCCACCCATCCATCCATCCATCCATCCATCCATCCATCTATCTATCTATCTATCTATCTATCTATCTATCTATCTATCTATCTATCTATCTATCTATCTATCTATCTATCTATCTATCTATCTATCTATCTATCTCTTTGTCTGTCTATCTATCTCTATCCATCCATCCATCCATCCATCCATCCATCCATCCATCCATCTATCTATCTATCTTTGTCTGTCTGTCTATCTATCTCTATCTATCCATCCATCCATCCATCCATCCATCCATCCATCCATCCATCCATCCATCCATCTATCTATCTATCTATCTATCTATCTATCTATCTATCTATCTATCTATCTATCTATCTATCTATCTATCTATCTATCTCTTTGTCTGTCTGTCTATCTATCTCTATCCATCCATCCATCCATCTATCTATCTATCTATCTATCTATCTATCTATCTATCTATCTATCTATCTATCTATCTATCTATCTATCTATCTATCTATCTATCTATCTATCTATCTATCTATCTATCCATCTATCTATCCATCCATCCATCCATCCATCCATCCATCCATCCATCCATCCATCCATCCATCCATCCATCTATCTATCTATCTATCTATCTATCTATCTATCTATCTCTTTGTCTGTCTGTCTATCTGTCTGTCTGTCTATCTGTCTGTCTGTCTGTCTGTCTGTCTGTTTGTTTCTTTTTTTTTTTCATTCTTTGTTATTCAATGAAGTAAATATCAGAAATAATTTGTCCCCAAAAACAGAAATATCTGATCATCTTCCATAAAGCTATTTTACCTTACACCTGGGCAACAAATGACACATTTCCATTACATTCCAGAGAGTTCTGTTATCAGCATCACTGAGGAAAATAAAACCATATCCATGCTCACTGGCTCGAATTGGCACAGAATGAAAAAATAGTTAAGCAAAGAGAACTGTTCAGCCTGATGGTTTAAAAGTGGATTAAGTGTTACAACTTGTTCCAGTACATACTGTAACATAAGGGAGGCAGGGCACGAGAGCCACTATGCTTTCACTCACTACTGCTTTGGCTCTGGTTAAAGGGATAGTTCACCCAAAATGAAAATGAACCATATTTATTTATAATCAAGTTATTCAAAATCTTTATGAGTTTCTTTCTTCTGCTGAACACAAGAGAAGATATTTGAAGAAAGAGGAAAACCTGTAACCATTTACTTCCATGGTAGAATAAACAAATACTATGAAAGTCAGCGGTAACAGGTTTCCAGTTTTCTTTAAAATATCTTCTTGCATTCAGCAAAAGACAGAAACTCATTAAAGTTTGAAACGAGTTAAGGGTGAGCAGATGATAACAGAATTTTCATTATTGGGAAAACTATCCTATTAATTAGGCTACTACACCCCTCGCTGCTGAAATCAGCTTCCAGAAATGATCAGATGTGCTCCAACATTGGGCACGTTCAAATCAAGACTGAAAACACATCTGTTTAGCTGTGCCTTTACTGAATGAGCACTGTGCTACGTCCGACAGATCGCACTTTTATGTTTCTATCTTTTTTTCAATCTTTTATAAAACATTTTATCTGTTTATCTGTGTTTTTATCATTTGTATTATTTGTTTTTATTTTCTTACACTTGTTTCTTTTAATAATATTTATGTAATGCACTTTAAATTGCCACTGTGTAGGAAATGTGATTTATGAATAAGCTTGCCTTGCCTTAATCTGGGACCGGCAGCTTTTTCCCACACAGTGTATTTTTATGCAGGTAAAGGGAATAATGAGAGACTGACTTGACAAGCCTGAGGATCTATAGAAACATTAGGCATCAGTTACCTATGGCTGCTGCTAAACTTTTTATGAATACAATGATTTTACCTCACTTATCTTATTGTGCTACAAGCTGGTCGCACACAAACATTACAACATTAAAACCATTGTATGTTATGTATAAACAAACTGTTAAAATAATTGCTAAAAACCCAAGGAGCTATCATCATTGCAACTGTATTGCACAACAAAATTACTAACATTCGACAGTTTCTTATTTTATGCTGATGTGTGTTTAATGTATAAAATATTTCATGATCTTGCACCACCACCCCTCAAACAATGTGTGATTGTCGGCAAGGACAATATAAGACAGACTAGGTCATCTGTTAGAGGTGATTGTTCAGTTAAACTTAAGAGAACTGCTTTTGGACAATCAGTTTTTTCAGTTAAAGCAGCAGAAAGATGGAATAAAATACCAGTGTTTATCAGAGAGAGAGAGCAGCACTTTTAATCATTTTAAAACTGTTCTTAAAATTTGGCTCAAACAAATTAAAATATGCAGCCACTGATTTGATTTCATTTTATTGTTAATGATGTATTGTATTTATTGTATTGTACTGTAAGTGTATATTTTATTGGTTATTACTGTTAAATTTGTTACTTCCTGCTCAGGGACTACAGATGTAAATTAGCTTTATAGCTAACTCTGGCACAGCATGTCATGTTGTACATTGTCCCTGTATAAATAAATAAAATAAATAAATAAATAAATAAAAGAACACAAACTGTCCAGATTCAACTTCATGGCTTGAAGTTGTGGATGCATATCACAGCGTATAGCAGAACTAATCCTTTAATTATGACCATTCTTAATTGACAATCAAAAACTTGTATTGATGAAAAGGGTTTTGGCAATTACCGATCGCAAATTAATTGTTTGCAACCTTAAAAGGGGCTATACTGAGCAAACATTATTTAAAAAAATTATATTTGTCAATGAGGTTTAGGGTCTGAAATTACATCGACCAATGATGGCTCTGATGTGATTTGTGCCACAAAGAACAAAGCAGAATGGTAGTATCCACTGTACAACTAAACTAAAAGCTAAAATATTTCGATAAAAAAGCAAAACAACAGTGACTGAACACTGAATGGTTGATTTTTCTTCTGTCTTGCTACAATCCTAGATATCAGGGACAGGAAATGTATATAACAGACAGAGAAATAGATGGACACACAATGAAGAGGTGAAATCGTCTGGCCAGAGTGAAACTGATTCATGAGAATGCACAAAATATAGAGTACAGGATCAAGAAAGTGCTGTTGACCTGGTGATGTCTTCTGATAGCTGGGCAGGATCAGGTGGGTAGAACTTCACATTGAATGTGAAATCATAGTCGGTGCCTGGGTCAATGCGGACATGATTGAAAACAAAATGAGGGAAAATTAGAAAGTGACCATGTGATCTAATATTACATGTCAAAGAGTTGTACGGTTTGAATCCACTCACCTTGTATTTGCCGTCTGATCTCCTTAGTAAAGTCCAACCATGTCTGAAAGACAAAAGAGAGAATTAATTAAAAAGATTACATCAAATACCATAAAATAACTGTAATTGAATCTACAATATGTAGAACTTCACTAAGGTCATGAAGTTCCAACCAATATTGTCTCCTTATAGTTATTGTAATCTTAATAAGTTATTGTAATTGATCATCTTTAATGTCAAACCTTCTAATACAAGTAAAGAAAGCAAAAAGATATTAAACACAACAGGTCATAATTTAAAAATCTTCATGTGTTTTGTTTGTGACTGTATGACTATAATTCCACTCCGTAAACCTGAAGAAAACATGTTTTTTTTTTATATATAATAAAAAAGTAGTCCACAGTTTATATTAAAAGAGTGATTATGAGTGCTGCTATGCAGATGTACCTTTATGGTTGGTGTCTCCCAGATAGCCAGACCGTAATAGTCTTTCTCTAACAGGTTCAGGTGGTCACAAACCTTTGCAAACAGATCTTGGCCTTTAGCGTGTTTCTGGAAACAAAAGCATAAAGTTAACTATGCATTTAAACCTGCATTTCATATGTAAGCAGATATTATATATATATATATATATATATATATATATATATATATATATATATATATATATGAGCAATTCCAGTGTTATAGATGTGAAATTTGCAGTAAAAACTCAAAACATAATTTCACACAGAAAGTATATGTTGACATTATATCGAAACTTTTGTTTATATTTTCCAAAATAGCTCACCACAGAGTTATGGGAGCAGAAAAATATCAATATGTAAACATGTTTTATATTTTAAATTAGGAAAATAAACATGCGTTATGGATGTGTTAAAAAAAGTTTGCGAATTTACAGTCGACAACAGATTATTTAGAAATTCTAACAGTTAAACTACACAACCCAAAAGACACAATGCTCATCAAACAGGTATGCATAACATTTTTGCATTTATGAAGAAAAAATGTTGTTATGGATGTGACACATTTCCGTTATGGATGTGACAGCTGTGATATTGCCACTTGTGTGATTTTGGCAAATTAAATATGATAGTTTGAAATACTGACAGGTACATTCACGAGTATTTTTACAGTACTGTAAAATACTTGCTAACACAAAAAATGTAGAAACGGTTTGTCTATTTTGCTGAAAACTAAATTATTTTTTATGGCAAGGTTGACATTTGCGTGGAATTGCCCATATATATATATATATATATACACACACACACACACACACACACACATATATACAACAGTTCTGTCTTGAATCTGATTTGGCTAATAGCCGTACGATATTCTCTAAATAACAGCACTATTACAGCCTCTTCATCCTTCTCTCTTGTGTATTACTCTGCCCACATACTTTGACACGTAAAGGACGCTCTACAGTTTGACAAATATTGCTGCTGTTGGATAACATACCGTACTTTTGTGCCTTTTTTAGAAATATAAAATATAAATTATGACATAAGATATTGTCATATGTGATTATGTGACAAGTTGAAATAAGATTAAAAAGTCAGAATTACAAAAAAAAATCTACATTTTGACATTTTCTTTCACCTTACTTTTATAATAATAACTTTTTGTGACATTATTATCATTTTTAAAAAAAAAAAATATCTTTCTATATGTGGTGGAAAAAAGCTTTTCATAATACTCAATGTACTGCATATTGAATTTGTGTAGATATTTCTATTACGATACTTCTATAAAATCACACTAGAAAGTTTACTATTATTATTAGGGATATTTCTTTATATTGAGCGCTATTATAGAACTTCCAGTGTTTAAAAAAAACTGACCAGTTCACATGCTAAATAAGGTCATGTGACGTCTATGTAGCCTACTACTGTGTCAAAAGTTAAAATATGCAGTGTTTCACTTACTATTCAATAATTTTCCTTCAGCTTAGTCTCAGATTTATTAGTAGTCGCCACATCGGAATGAACCACCAAATATTCCAGTATATGTTTTATGCAGCAGATACCTTTCAAGGCGCAAAATAGTACTGGGAAACACCCATACACTCTCACATTTACACACACACACTATTGCCAATTTAGTTTATCCAATTCACCTATACTGCATGTTTTTGACTGTGGGGGAAACCGGAGCACCCTGAGGAAACCCACACGAACATGGGGAGAACATGCAAACTCCAGCCGGGACTTAAACCAGCAACCTTTTTGCTGTGAGGCGACAGTGCTAACCACTGAGCCACTGTGCTTACTATTTTTTAAAATATAAAATGTCTAAACATAGACTCCTGTTAGGAACATGAAACAGTATAATTAGTTTTAGCTCAGTACATGCTAATATCAGATAAAAGCTATGAAGGGTCAAGTCTGCTGTGAGCAAGGTTGCTAATTTTTTTCAATTAGGATGCTGTTTCTGTAGCAGGCACACATTAAGTCAGCTCAGTCAGTTTTCAGACAAGAGCCACAGAGAACGATAGCAACAAAAACAGGCCAAAGTGTCACATCAGCAGAAAGAGTCTCTCGGTAGTCTGAGAGTTAATTAGCAAAGGAAGTAAAAGCCCTTGAGCGAATGCCTGACTTTCAAAGTTGCTCCCAGAGGAGTAGACAACGAAATGCTGCACTTGATAAGAAACAAAAGCGGCAGTTGTGTGCTGTATTTGTGTATGTGTGCGTGTCGCTTACTTCCAGCTCACACTCGAATAGAGAATCATCCAGCAGTTTGACTTTGCAGTGCATGATCCTTGGCCGGCGAGCTGCTTTCTGCTTCTTCCCCTCCTCCTCTTCCACTGTGTTCTTCTCCTCCTTCTCTTCCTCTTTTTCCTCCTCTTCCTCCTTTACTTCTGTTTCTGCTGCACCTGCATCTTCCGGCTTGGGCTCTTCCTCCACCTTCTCTTGTTCCTTCTCCTTTTCCTTGTCTTTGTCTTTTTCCTTTTCCTCCTCTCCTTTGGCCTTGTCCTCGTTTTTCTTCTCCTTCTTCTCTTTTTTCTCCTTCTTCTCTTTCTTCTCCGCTTTCTCCTTTTTCTCTGGCTTTTCCTTCTTCTCTAGCTTCTCCTTATCTGCTTTCTCCTTCTTCTCCTTCTTTTCTTTCTTTTCCTTCTTTTCCTTTTTCTCCCCCTTCTCCCCCTTTTCCCCCTTTTCTCCCTTGCCTGACTCCAGCTCGGCGTCTTCTTTCTGATCTGCTACGATTTGCTGAAGGCAGACAAAATCAAAACGTTAAAAAAATAATAACATTTAGATAGATTAATACATAACTAATAACATCTAAATAACCAGGGCTTTTAAAAGAACCATTATTTCAAAGTTTTTGAAACTGAGTCTTATAAAATAACAATAATTTGATGAAGGTATGTACCATTATGGATCTTAAAGTGTATTAAAAGGTCAGTTTACCGCAAAATCTAAATCTTGGCAATACAGTGTATAAGTCATATTGCCCATAGTAAATGTACACCCTGTTTTGATGTTGAAGACATAGGGCCCTATCATACACCCGGCGCAATGTGACTCAAGGCGCGGCGCAATAGTCTTTTGCTATTTTCAGCTTGGCGCAAGAGTCGTTTTGAGGCGTTGCGCTATGCTGTTTAAATAACAAATGCATTTGTGCTCATATGTGCGCCCATAGGTGTTCTGGTCTAAAAAGGAAGGCGCTCTGAGACGCGTTGCTGGCGCGTTACTACTTTGAGAAACTATAATAGATTTTTCAATAGACCAAAACAAACCCCGTCTAAAGTGGAGCGCAGAGTTGCGCCTCGCTTACACACTGCTTAATAGCCTACACACAAGATGTAGAGCAATACGCAAATATCTTTACATATGAAAAATATAAAATATTAAGGATATAATAAGAATATATATATATATATATATATATATAGGATACAAATATACAGGATTGAAATATTACAAAACATATTATTTTCTAGCCTACATAAATATGAAAAACCACTGCTTTTATGCCTTCTTCATCTCGGGAGGATTTTTCAGTTTATTCATAACAATTTGCATTATTATTAGCAGTATCATTTATTATATCCATATTTAAATTTGTTTTATTAAAAACAAGCTTGGATTTGCCCACCAGGTTTTAGACCATATGGGGCACAGAATGTGCTTTAGGATATAACTCAGGTTTTTGAGCACACTTCGTTATTATTGCTCATTTATTCGTTTGCTGGAAATTAGAACTTAATTTAGAAATAGTTTTGAAACAAATATTTGCGCTTAACAAACAAAATTATTTATTTATAGGCTAATTGATGTCTGTGCGTAAAGGTTTCCCTGTCCACGAGAGCGAAAGTGAAAGTAGATAATTTATCTCTCATTCTTGGTAGGTGCTCTGTTTGCTTGTGAAATGCTCAGTTTTTCCACTTACACTTACTTTACGTCATGTAAATAGCAAACTCGCTTATGGCATGACGCAAGGCTCTTAAAGGGAATGGGAGATGAGACTCTGATTGGTTTATTCTCAAAACACACCTATAACTCATTAAGAAAATAAACTCAACCCTTTTAGACCATGCGCCACGGCGCAAAGCGGATTTTCCCATCCTTAAATTAGCGAAAATGCATTCTGACACGCCCTGAAAGCGTTTGCACTCTGCGCTTTACGATTTGCGCATGGACCAAAAATAAAGCCCATACAGTTTGGTCAAAGAGCATAGAATTACCAAGAATTACCAAGAAGCGAGTGCGATTTTCGAAACAGCCACTAGAAGGCACGGCGGCTATTTTAGAATGAAAATTCCAATAGAACAACAGCATATTATAAGTCTGTAAAATAAACTATTAAAAGTGCTGTTGATTGTCAAGTGTTGTATTGTCGCCTTTCAGGTTGTATCTCAGCCTAAATTTGCTTTTTAAAAAAATAAACAAAAAACAAAGCAGCAGCTTGCCATCACGACAGCAATAAGATCCAATGGACGGCTGATCGCTTTCACTCCAAAATGGCGGAATCCAGGGCTGTTGCTGGGCACTGCTGTTGCAATGGAACATTCTATTGAGTGTCGCCTCTTGGGCATTTTAAGCTCTTTGGTTTGGTGCATGTAAGTGTTCTTGTAGCTTCGTATGATCACATTTAACCACTAAAATCGAGTGTTTTGACAATGTTTTTGCTTCTTTTTCTAGACTTTAAAAATCTAGACCGTTGCTGTATATGGAGGATGATAGATTGCTTGAATTAATCTAAAATACTTCGATTTGTTCATTGGGGCCTGAGGGGATTAAAACGACATAAGGGTATAAGATTAATTTTTGGATAAATTGACGATTCAAAGATGATCTATTTTGTACAAGATGATAAAGGTAAAACAAGAACATAAAATCAAAAAAAAAAGCCAACCTGACTGCACTAGGACTGGGAATAGCAGTTGACAGTAAGCACAGCGGTTGAAAGGCAGTTTCAAAAATGTTTATGGCATCGCAAGGTGGTCGCTAAGCAGTTGCTAAATGGCAACGCTCATGTACATGTTGGATCAAACGCTGTTACTTAATACTTACTAGGCATTTCTATAATAGATTTTTAAGGGGTTTTTCACCTTTATTGGACAGAACAGTAGATAGAATTGACAGGAAAATGTGGGGAGCAGAGATAGGGGAAAGATCGGCATAGGACCTCAAGGCGTGAATCGAACTTGGGTCACCAAGAACACCGGAGTGTCGGTGCACTTTCCACTACGCCATTGGCATGACCTTAGTAGGCATTTCTAGCATATGGTATTGCATTTAGATCATAATTAATAACCTGTAGTTAATCAGTATTAGCACCTGGCTTATCAATTTTACATGCATATTACAAAGGAAGTCCCATTTTGCTTGCATGAATCAAACGAGCCAATACCTAGGTCCCTACGATGTTCTGATGTAGAGATATTGCTGTTTATAAATGGTTGCTAGGTTAGCATATGTTATTGCTATGGGGACAATTGACAGCTTAATGATGATACATCAAAGCTTCTTGTCAATATAAGTAATTGAATGCAACTCCGATGTCTCTATGTCTCTATGACAGTTAAAAACTTGGCTTGGACACTATGTGAAATTGACTTGCCATATTTTATTGAAAATATAATGCTTAATAAGTGTAAAAGTAATTCATAGAAAAATGGCTTGCCATATCAGTAAAAAAGGACTTGCCATATTATTAAAAAGTATGGAGTTTAAATAAAAAATAGCTTGCCATATTTTGAGAAAAATAATGTCTAAAACTTATTTATTGGAAAACTATAAGTCTGATAAACCTGAAAAGATAGAGCAAAAAAATCTAATGCAGAACAGCTTTAGGCCAAATTTGGGGCTTGTATAATTTTTTGTATATATATATGTCCAAATTATTAAAATGTAATCTTTAACTTGTATTTTTTTTTAATGATAAGTCTGATTGGCATGAGGAGATACAGCAACAATTTTGAATGCAGAAGGAACATTTTGACTAAATTTGGGCCTTGTGGCATAAACAGCCAAGGAGGAGATACGATAGTTTTCAAGGACAGAATAGTATAACAGTACGTTGGCTTTCTCAAATTAACATAATAAGTCTCTGATGTCCGTAGAGTATATATGTGAAGTTTCAGCTCAAAATACCAAACAAATATGCTTTATAACTCACTGAAACCGCCCCTTTTAGGCTTTGATCCTAATTATGTGCTTTAAATTTGAATGAGATGAATTTTAAAAAGAGGGCGGAGCTACAAATGCCTGTGTGTCAGCATAGTGGTAGATTCAAAAACAAGGTTAACATCCTATGCTTATGAGGGAAAGATCATCACTAATGGATGGGACTTTTTCCCTGTGATGACATTTACAAAGGAGAATGTCAATCAAAGTGTTTTTGTGAAGAGTGATTATAAAAAATAAAAGTATACATTATTACCATTAGAAGCTGGCTATATTCACTAACTGTTGCCACACAACTGTGTTCGAACCCATTATGAAAAGAGATTTTTGCATAACAGGTCCACTTTAGGAAGTATTTCTGCCAATCTGATTCAATCGAAAATGTAATAATGTTCAATAGGGGTGTACAGGTGTAACAAGAGACACTTTTGGATGAATATTAATTCCAGTTTTATTACTTTGTTATAGATTTTTATAGAACATCCTTCAAACATGTTTCAGGAGATGAGAATGCATAATAATAGTTCTTAGAAATCATAAGGACTTATAAAAACTGTAACATTTCACATGAACCCTATTTATAAAAAATCCCAATTTGGTGATGTTGTATGAACTGTTTTCATGAGAGCGTGTTGATACTAACTTTCTTATTTCTATCAATGTTACATTTATTGTACTGGGAAATGTTTGTAGCTTATCTGTAGCTTAAACGATGGAGAGTGAGGCATAAAATGTCAACGTTATTAGTTCACTTTGCATGAAATGCATGAAATATTAAAATGTATACCATGAATGATAAGAAGTGCCTGTCAAACGCATATCCAAAGGGATGCCTCCTTTTCAATATCTAAATAACTGAAATACATTGTTTATACATTTTCATGAATTGTTTAGCCTGTACTACTTCACCTCAGTCTGCCGTACATCTACTTTAGTACATTATCATGCACAGATATTATGGTTTTCTTAATGTTGACATTGGCAAAGTTTAGAAAATCTACTTTCCAAATGCATCTTATCACTGTATATTATTATTACTAAGAATGATTTTTAAATAGGACTTTATAATGTTTAATCAAAGTTCTATAACTCAAGTAAAAATGTCAAATGTGCTTTTCTCTTCAATACAAGCCCAACAAATGTGGCATTAAAAATGCCATCTCATTTAAAAAAGAAATGCTGCCGGATTCCTCACTCTAGGAGAAAGGAATAAATAATGAAAAGGTAGCAGCGGGGAAAAAGCTGAAGCATTTTGACAGCAGTTAGCAAAGCTTAAAATACCAGGCATTCAGTATGAACAGCCTCTCAGAAAGCTTTTAGTGCACTGTGCTGCTGGAACGGTTGAGAGCTCCACAGAGGTGATTTTAACACGCAACCTCTGACCGGAACGCATACGTGTGAATGTGAGACGCTCCACAGTCCAGTTAGCTGTTAGACAGACATCCCTTGCTACATTAAACACAGTGTGAACATGCAGTTGTCACTTTTAGGTCATATCTGTCGGTTAGCCCACACCAGTAAGATGAGTGTTACTCACCTTTAAAAGACTTGGAGACAGTTTTTTAAAAATATGGAATTTAAGCATAAAAAAGTGTGTTGTCAAGATACAAAATGACAAAGAGATTGTATTATTTATTATTATCATACAGCTTTAGAAACAATAAATTATTATTGACTGATAAATCTCTTACTGCAATCTCTTATTGACTGACTTACTGCATTTACTAGGTATGGGTTGAGAAAATATTTTCATTAGTGCTGTCAATAGATTTTAAAAAATTAACTAATTAATCACGATTAATTGGATTTAAAGACTGAAAAAGGTAATTTTGGCTATTCAAATGTAAAAATAACGTAAACATAGGACAAAAAAAACTATTTAAATTCCAAATATAATTGTTTATTAGAATTATTGTTTAACTTGTAACACAGATTTCTTCACGTAAACAACATACCCACAGTAAACCATCAAGATCCTGGCTTGACAGCCCTATATATTACAGAAATAAAAACGTATGCATGTAAATGCCATTTGAATTTCAAAACGATCAATGCCAAAAAAGAAAAAAATGATTTCTATGTTGGATTCTAATGCTGTGTTCACACCAGACGCGGAACGCGCGGATAAATCGCGTTATTCGCGTGTAAATAGCCGCGTGAACATTTGAGTCTACTCGCTTCATACGCGCGTCAAACCCCGCTTCATGCGCGTGTCAAATTCACATCAGAACAGACGCGGATTCGCGTGATGGGCAGGGCTTCTGTCTACCCGAAGATTCTAGCTTCATAGCTAAATGTCTAACATGGATTTTATGAAGAAAATAACAGTGTTTATGTGCTTTATGAAGACTCAAAAACAGCGTCGATTTGTTTAGGGTCGTGTCTGAGTGCACTACATGCTTTCAGAGGTGCATCCAGCTCTGTGAGCTCATAAACTCCTCCAGAAACTTAACCTGGATGACAGAGGCTTTCAGCGGGGCATCTGACTGAGCCAAGCCGAGTTTGATGAACTGTTGTCAGTGAAGGCTGGAGGATTTCCCTCGGAACACCGACAAAAGGTTCTACGTCACAATCACGCCCCCTCAAGACCAAGCTTTTGATTGGTTAACGCGTCGCGAATGTTCAGATTTTCGAAATCGAGAGATTTGCGCGAAACGCTCGTTACGCTCATCAAACGCGCAAAACGCTCAATTCGCCACGCGCCATTCGAGCAATCGAGCGTTTGCATTGACTTAACATGTAAATCACTCGCGCTTGACGCGCATGCCGCGTCTGGTGTGAACGCAGCATAAGAGAACTGCAAAACAAATCTAAAATAGTTATTGCAAATATGGAAATAGGAAAATAATAATAAAAAAGTAATGAATACAAACAATTTCACTCATTGAAAAGTTTTATTGCTGTGAGTTGAGAACAATAATTATAAAGTAGAAACAATTTTGCTTAGTCCTACTTTACATTCAGCCAGTTGCTAAGACAGTCTAGTCTGTTGTCATTATAAGTGGACAATGTGGCCCTTTTCTTTTGAATGATGTGAGCTGAGAGTGTGAACAGTATCTCACAAGCAGAATCACAGATTCAGCATATGCATTTCAGTGCCTAATTTTGTTGCTACTGGTGCTGCGACAAGGATGTAAGAAGCATCAAGCAGTACAACAAAGGCACCCACAGGTACGCGTTGAGTCACACCAAAGACTAATTCTTACAGGGACTGGTAACACCATCTCTAAACATTTAAACAACTTTGGAGTCGGCGATGTTTAGGTGTTTGTTCTTGTTGCTTGTAGCTAACGCGTGCATGCACAAACATGCTCACACACACACACACACACACACACACACAAAACGCGTGCAGGACAGCACAGCCGGTGATCGAGGGATCCCTTCAGATTCATCAACACGCATGATCGCGTTCATCAAATTTGCTTAAACTAAGCGTTCTAAAGTATGGCTGTATTTCACAAGGATTCTGACACAACAACAAGCAGACACTTCACAAAAGTTGAGTTTATGGGGGAAACACTTAATGAAACATTTGAGGGCTCATGGAATCATCCTAAATGCAGATTAATGCGCTGTCTTTGACAGCTTGCGACATCATCTGGCACTTTCTGAGTACATTTACATGGAAACCAATACTCAGATTTTATTATGTTTAAGATAATACTCTGATTAAGACCCTACCATGTAAGCAGCGATTTTTGATTACCTTAAAGGACCACCAAGTCATGAAATGCGGAGGGTTTTTTTTTTCCATTCGGCATGTGGTATCAAATTCCATTAACACAAAAGTCGAAAGATTAAAAATGAAACATAAGAAAATTTGATGAAACTCTGGAGAAAACTTTGGATAACCTGTTGATGCAACTTTAATTGTTTTATACTGAAACTTGCCTTCTAAAAGAGTTTCCTTGGTCTTATCCGGCCACAACAGGAAAAAAAATCTGCAACTCCGCTAATTGCGTGATTTTTTTTTTTTTTTACGCGTTTAATATTTTTAATTAATCGGATGAGTTAATGCACTAATTTCAACAGCACTAATTTTATATTAATTTTTATATTAATTTTATAACAATAAGGTAATAATGATAACATTTCCTCTGTTGTAAATGAAAATTTGAGTTATTCCATCAAACATTGATTTCTGAAGTTAAATACTAGTACCGTGTTTCTTAACAATTAATATAAACATGTCTGAAAATTTGCCTCTTTTTGTTATTGATAAAATTTTTAAATCTATTAAATGATATTTATACTTGAAATTTGGTAGGAATGTTATTGGTAGCTAACAGAAAAAAAAATAATTATGTTTTATAAAAACACTATACCATACTAGACTCAATCATAAATCCAGCAGTCACTTGTTGGTCTAAATCAGTGGTTTCCAAATTTATTTTCTTGTTTTATGCATAACCTACAAAAGTTGCGATCGCTGGAGTAATCCATTTTGCAGCACCATGTTAAACTTTCTGATATTTTTTTTGCCAGTCACGTACATTAAGAATGAATACAGGTCACGACTGAATGTGGAAGATGATCTCTGACTGGCAATCCTAAAAATTAAAGCAAGAATGATGACTACCCATCTCATTATGTGAGGCTTATATTGAAATTAAACAAATGAATAAATCACAAAAATACATATTTTTTTACTTGCTCGTGCTTGCATAGGCCTACTGGTGTGTGTGCACCATCGCGCACATTGTTTGTATATTTATAATCATCAATGATGATAACGTGGTTGCAAGTCACTGGCATAGTTATTTTGGGGGACCCCATGGTCTATTTGCTTGTTAAGTGTGACGTCACATGAAACTTTCTGGTCCAAGCTATATCAAACTGTATGGGAAGACTAAACAAATGGTAATAATAAATGGTGCAAAGTGATGTATTACTTTTGAAAATCACAAAATGCTATTTATATACAGTTGAAGTCAGATTTATTAGCCCCCCTATTTATTTTTTTACCCAATTTCTGTTTAATGGAAAGAAGATTTTTTTTAACACATTTCTAAACATAATAGTTCTAATAACTCATTTCTAATAACTGATTTATTTTGACTTTATCATGCTGACAGTAAATATTTGACAAGATATTTTTCAAGAAACTTCTATACAGCTTAAAGCGACATTTAAAGGCTTAACTAGGTTAACTAGGCAGGTTAGGGTAATTAGGTAAGTTATTGCATAACAATGGTTTGTTCTGTAGACTATCGAAAAAATATAGCTTAAAGGAGCTACTAGTTTTGTCCTTAAAATGGCTTTTAAAAAATTAATAACTGCTTTTATTGTGGCCGTAATAAAACAAATAAGACTTTCTCCAGAAAAAAAAAAATATTATCAGACATACTGTGAACATGATTTGGGAAACATTTAAAAAAGAACAAAAAAATACAAAGGGGGGCTAATAATTCTGACAACTGTAGGTGCTGGAGAAGACATAGGAATGTTCACCTGATGGCGTTCATTGGGGATTCTGCTGAGGGAACAAGGGAAGGGAAGTTTGCAAGTGCTTTATGTCTAAAAGTGGACTGGAATGCAGCCCTGGTCTGAACACATCTCTTTCTCACCTGGTTTTCAGCACTGCTGATTGAGTGCTGGTCTAGAGCAACATCGCCCTCTATGCGCAATTCTGGCTCAGGGTCTGCTATAGGAGCTTTGGGTTCGTCCTGGTTCTCCTTCTCGCGGGCCCTCTCCGTCTCCACCCCCTCGCCCTCCGAGCACTGTGAACGGCGCTTCAGGAAGGAGGAGAAAAGGCGGGAGAGGCCACGGCCAGCGGAGGTGCGCTGACGGGGCTTTAGCTGCTGTTCCTCCTCCGAGCCCCCAGGGGGCAGCGAGGTGCCGGAGGGGCTTTCCTGAGCTGTGTCAGGGGGGGCTGGCTCCTGTGCAGCGGGGTCCTCCTCTTCCTGCTGCTGCTCACACACTTGCTTCTTATGAACGCTCTCCGCCTCGTCTGTCGTCATGGCAGATACTGTAGGAGGAGAAGATTTAGGTTATGTCAAAAATGTTTCTTTCACACCATGGATGCTGTAATGTAAATAAAACATAATCAGTTAAATAGACTTCAGCATTTATTTACTGTAGCTCAAGCATAAAACGAGATGAAAAGCCGTTTACATGCACACACCCATCAGGATCAGCAGGCTAGCGGAGAAACTCCATTGAAAAAACTGCGGTAAAATAAATCAGTGTTTTCTCAGGAATTTTTTCCAGCTGTGACAGCAGGCCTTTTTTACACAGATCCACCAACTACCTGTGGTGTTATTTCAATGACAAATGAAGAAATGTTGTGTGCGCAGTATTACAAGTCGAGATTGCATTTATTTAATAGCCTACGAGCATGTGAATCTCTTTGCTTGCGTTTCTCAAGCGCAGATCTTCTTGTGCGCTCTCAAATAAACGCTGCTGAAGTGTGATTTAGTGTATTTATGCAACAACTATGTCTCCAACATTTATTAGATTTGTTATGAATATTTATGAATGTCTCCAATAGGCCTACAGAGCAGTATTAATGCGTCCTGAAGTAAAGTGAAGCGGCTATACGTTGTGTTTGCTAGCCTCACGCATCACGCACCTGTCAGTCAGGCACTCAGTCAGTCAGTCAGTCAGCACGTAACATCAAAGGGTTAAACAAATGACGCAAAGCACTACTACGGTTACAGAAAAGTTTGCGCTGTTATAATTCACTTACCCTTTTATACATTTTGGTGCGATTATCATCCGCTATCAAAAAAACACGACTGTATGTTTTGAATGAAAAGCTGAAATGTAGCCGTGGCGGGATCAATTTTGGCGTGGCGTCCCGTCATGGAAGAATGAATGTAGCGGAAACCATGTAAATGATTATATTTTTAAAGACATGACACGGAAAAATGTAATTTAATGCAGTGCTTCTTTTACATTCTGAAAACGTGACAATTTCCCAAAACGTTTCACATTTCTTGAACGTGACAATTTTGTAAAGGCAGACTTTTTAAATGATAAATTATAAATCCTACTACCTCTGCATACACCCGATTATAATTGCTGACTTCATACACATTTACCAATTATTATTCTTAAAGGTTTGTTCACCTAAAATTAAATGTATTATTATTATTATTATTTATTAATTTTCATGTAATTTTCCAACCTCTCATTCTGTAAACACAAATTAAGATATTTCAAAAGAAATCTGAGAGCCGTATTGTCTTTTTTATCACTTTGTATGTTTACTACATGCAATACAGCACTTGGTTGCAATACAGCACAACACAACTGCTTACTTTTATGGCAATTTGTTGTACCGCCTGAAGTAAACATGCACCCTCATGACCTGACTAGGCATAGAGGACATTAGCAAACAAAGTTGTTTTTACAGTTTTTTGGTCCACAAAATTGTTCTTGAAGCTTCGTATGGTTATCGTTGAGACACTGAAGTCAATGTTTGGCAATGTTTGGTTCCTTTTCTGGCTTTGAATGTCTCGAGACTAGGGATGTTCCGATCGATCAGCCGAAGATCATTATCAGCTGATATTCACATATCCTGACTTGATCAGTCCTGCCAATCTGGCCGATCTCATGGACCGATCGCAGGTGTTTGTTAATGAGTTTTCAAGCAGAGGAATATGGACAGGGGCTCCCATGTATTATATTTAGCCTTAGCTGAAGTCAAGTCAATGAATTAATTTTTTTCTGTAAAGCTGCACACTTGAATGGTTATAAGAGATGTGTTTAAGGTAATATATGCAACATCCTTAATGTATTATCTTAGGTAAAGCAAGATCTTCCCCTAAGGTTCATACTTAAAGGGAAAATGTGCTTAATGCATTAGAAAGCTTGAAGCATCAGAATCGGTACTCAGTATCAGCCGATGACAATGACAAGGAATCAGTACTTGATATTGGCTGCAATAACCCTAATCGGAATCGGAAGTTAATCCACAAGATGAAAATTCCTTAAAGGAGTCAATTTACAAGGTACTTGAAGAAAACTTTATAAAACAGAACATACTGTAGGCTATGCAAATACAGTAACAGTCGATGCCTATGTACTGTAAATGAGGGACAGCTTAAAGACATTAAAAATAGTATCATTTGTGCATCTATAGTATAACAGAAAGGCAGTGTGCTTGAAAAATTAAGTATACTTCAGGCTTTAGCTACTTGAGAGCACATCCACCTAACACAACAGTAACACCAAAAGATTCCAGCACTAGTGCACACCTACCAGATTAGTAAAAAATGTCAGGACTCAGCATCCTTAACTTAATCCACGCTTAATCCATACATCTATAATACTGCTTCTGAGCAGAACTCCAGGCTAACCATTCTTGATGTTCACGATCTCATATTGCTAAAAATTAGGGATGTGTGTTGTAACTAATTTCTTTCATGTGCCAAACTTTAGCATTTTCTTTAAAAAATAAAAACTCTCTCTCCTTGTTTGAGTGAATGTTTCTCTGAAACCGCAGAGAGTGACAAAAACAACAAACACAAGTTCTGAGGCAAATTTATTACCTTTTGCTTTAATATTAAGGGTGTCACAATCCTCCAAATCCTCGATTCGATTACATTTTCGATTTCTAAAGGCACGATTCGATTTTTTGATTATGAATAATTAAGTAATGACCAATTAATTATTTGTAGCCTACCGTTTAAACTACCTGACCTGTATGGTCTTTGTTTTACCCATAAACAAATCATACAATAAATGAATAAAGGCAAGATACACACATAATTATCACCTGTCAATCACTTTTTTCTGCGGGACTCGTGAATAGGCAGTGATCTGTGTCGTTATAATGGCGTCGGTAAAAAAGAAAAGCTCTGTCGACGGGTCTCCAGCGTCTGCAGTTTAACAAGCACTTCAACAAGCCTGTTTTTTTTCCCGCTTGGCAAGCCAAGCTGACGTGACATGGGGGCGTGGCAGCATCGACGATTCTATTTTTTGATTCGATAATCGAAATTGAGCATAAATTTCGATCGATTTCGATTTTTAATCGACACCCCTATTTAATATAAATTTATAATGTCGTAACATATATGACAAGTCAATTAGGCTTACATTTTATTGACTACATGTGTTTATATAGTGCTTTCACATGCCTGTCAATGCCGCCAGAAATGTGAGAATTATTAATGAATATATTAATCTAATAAAAATAAAGTAGACATTTCACAAAGTTTAGAAATATAACAAAGTCTTGTACATTGTATTGCTAAAGATTTGTGTGATTTGTAAAGTCTATGCCACTGTTTTAATTATTTAAATTAGATATTTAAATTGAAGTAACATTAAAAACCACTGAAGAGGGGAAATTATTTAACAGGATAGCACTCCTCTTCCTTCAGCCTACACACATAAAAGTTCCTGAAAGCAAAGGTCAACGTGCTCCAGGATTGGCCAGCCCAGTCACCAAACATGAACATTATTGAGCTCGTCTTAGTTAAGTTGGAGAAAGCAATCTAGGCATAATCTAGAGCAGTGGTTCTCAAACTGTGGTACGTGTACCACTAGTGGTACGCAGGCTTCCTTTTAGTGGTACGTGGAGGAATGAAATATGTCATGTACATGCTACACATATTTCAAAATTTATTAAAAATGATGTATATAATATGCCATATATGACATATAGCTTATATTTCTAAGGTAATCTGCCACGTTTGTTTAACTGTGCAGGGTTGTAGCTGCTTTACTGGGCCTACTACACTGCTATATTTCAATATTGCTCATTTTGGTGGTACTTGGAGAGACTATTTTTTTTCTGAGGTGGTATTTGATGAAAAAAGTTTGAGACCCACTGATCTAGAGGCCTGTGCCTTTCATATAAGCCACTTCTGATACCAAATTATCAACCAAAATTCAAGTTATTATTTGTTGTTCCTAAAACTTGGATGGGCGACAAGACTTAGAGAAGTCTAAAGTAAAGAAGTTGTCAATTGCAAAAAGAGCAAGTCTGGTAAAGGCCATGTCCATCCACACTTCTTGGGCTAATAATATTTCAATCCCCCATATTGAATTAGACCCTGTTCGTGGCATGGAACAGGTCAAGACATACAGTGTGTCGATTAATTTGTTTATCCACTTCATCAAACCAGTCAGAGTGACTTGTTTATGAGAAAATAGTTGAATACTTCAGTCAGTTCAGTTAAAAACTACTTAAACTACAGCTGGAAGTGAATAATTGCACAACATAAAATGCCATCAACAAATAACCAATAACTAAAATACCACATTCACAAAATATGATCATTTATGGTGTCATTTAATTTATTTACCTAATCTTATTACATTTCATTTAATAGCTTTTGATTGTATTGTAAATAGTCAAATACAGTTCCAAATCATTTAAGAAAGAAATCACAATTACATGAATTGACTTTTTTTTTCTTTAGTCTGTGGAATATTTGTGAGAGGACCACACACAAATGAGAGCAGCCAGAAAAACACTGCTCTCTTTGCATCTCTACGGAAGAGTGGTAACTAAATAAAAATAACAACTGTATCTTGACTAAGACACACACGAGGAAGTAAATGGTACGGGCTCTATAAGAATGCAGCGGTCTATTTTGAAAGAATCACTTAGGATATCCAATTATGAAAAATCCAATCCAATGAGCACACATAAACCACTTCATCTTGTATAAAGTGAGCCAGCCTACCCCAGGCCTAATGACATCAGAGAGGATTTACTAAATACATTATAGGTGGTCGAAATAAGCCAGTTACAAAACTTGAAGCAGTTTGACCAGGGTTTCCTCAGTGAATCCACAGTGATGATGCGTGAGGTTGTGACTCTTTAAAAATTGTAATGCAAGTTAATACAATGGTTATGACTCAACCCACACAGAATCTGAGCCTGCATACTTCTGAAGGTCATCATTGAGCCTGTTTATTGACTTGAGTAAATGTGTGTAAATGTACATTTCTTCAGTTTTTAATCATTTTTAGTAATATGATATGATAATATAA